AGACGTGCTGTAAGCGTGATTTGACTTTGGTTTATTTAAACGTATATATTTTAGGAAAATTCAACAGAGCAGTAGTTATATAAACTTAATTGAAAAGAGTAATTCATATGCAGTGTTGACAATTTAATATATTTTATATTAGCTCTGTTTATTTTGTCTATCTGTAGGAAATATGATAACAAGCCTCATGGATATTCTTTAGTTATCATTCAATCATTGCTTTTGGCAGCGAAATTACATATACAAATGATTCCAATTCATATAATGAATAAATATTTATAATATAATATTATGTATAAATGCAATAAGAGCAATAATTCTAAATGCAGGTTACTACCATCGTAGATAGCTATGTTTAAAAATACTCTGGTCATAATTTAATAAGCAAATGATAGTGGCGTGTGACAAATAATTGTCATGCTGGGTAAACAGATAAATCGTATAATAAAGTGTATTTTAAAATTAGTACGATTCAAACGTGATTTATGCGGAATTTATATACATTACAATTATACACATATTTAATATTATAGTTACATATGAAGAATTTTTATGTTACATAATTAAAGTTGTTTTGCACTCAATTTTCTTTTTTGATAAGGATATATAGACCTATTTAGCTACCTAGACTTATATGGAAGTAGTAAAGAAATATTAAATTCACAGTTCGAACGTACCTAATATTAACAATTGTTCAGCAAGTTCTTATTCCTTTCGTTATGTTTGAACACATAACAAAAAAATATCACATAGTTCATTGGTGATTCCGAAACCTGAAAAGCCACCAGAATAGACTTTATCATACAGTCCAATTAGCTTACTTACCACTCTATCTAATGTCTTTGAAAAACATAAAATATTAGTCTATAGCATATATAACATATTAATGAATCATCATCATGTACAGTGAAAATTTTCTTTAGCGGATACTAACAAAACCAGCAGCTCTGCCCGTTTAAAGTAGGGACAAGCACCATTGCAAAGCTAAAAGATTATACTAGTTTAAAAGACCGTTTAACAGATGTTGAAATTATTCTTAAGTAAAATTTATAAATATCTCATATGACTCTCCATTAAAGCTACGCTTTATAGGTTTTTAATCCTATCTGTCGTTTTATAGGGTGCAGAAGAATCACAAAATATTGAAGAATATTTTTCGTAAGATCTTGTGTTCTCTACGAGTTGGTGTCGACAACCACATTTAAATGAACCATGAACCATGAGATGTAGAAGCCTTATCAAGTCCTTAACATCAATTAACATCCAGTGACTTCGTTGGCTTCCTTACATTGTGTAAATGGATGACGATCCTCAAGCAAAAAAGGTGTTTGAAGGGGCAGTTGGAAAAAAAAACGCAGAGGTCAGCTGCGCTTAATGTACAACACTTAAGAAGACTTACACACTTCTCTCCGAGAGAGAAGTGCTGCGAAAGATGAATGGTAAACCCGATAACGAGTTGTTATATTCATATAAGCAAGTAGGCATCACCCACCATTTTACAACAAAATTCCTTCCCAAAAGATGGGATAAAGTCGGGTCTAAGATGGATAAAGGCATTGGAGCCGGAATATTTTCTACGGATCTAGTGATTACTAAATCACACCATCCTCAATATTTCAGGCAGAAATTTTTGCTATCATTAGGACATGTGCACTTGCTTTAAACATGGACTTTCGCGGAAAAGAAGTCTATATTCTAACCGACAGTCAGGCAACTATTAAAACCTTATTCATCCAGATTAGTGCAAGAATGTTTTGATTTATTAACGCACTAAGTGAGAGATCCAAGGTAACTCTAGTTTGGGTTCCTGGTCATTCTAATATTGTAGAAAATGAGCGCGGAAATGAGCTTTCTAGACTAAGTGCCTCTTCCACGGATTCTCCTATTTCAATCCCTGCCCCTGCCAGCTACGGTCGGAAATTGATTTATGACCATTATTTGCGACAAGCAAATAGTGAATGGCCCTTTGCCGACTCAGTAGTCAGGTCAATGCCTACATAGCCTATCTATTTCAAATGTAAAACCACTGATTTAATACACAGAAGCAAATCAGAGGTATCTAGGTTAATATCTGCCTTTACAGGACACTGGATCATAGGACGATGTGGAGCTAGACTTGGCCTACCCTGTGGTATCTCCTGCAAAGCATGTCTACCATCTCTTGAAGAAAGGACACCAGAGCATCTGATGTACCTATAATCAAGCTTTGCCAGAACTAGTCTTAAGTTTATGGGGGCCCCCTACTTCAATACATTCGAAAATATCTTTAGCATTAGCATTGGCCAGATTATTGCTTTTATATATGCATCTGGTTGGTTTTAGATTGACCTTCTCTCTACACCCTCTATTACAAGGATTTGTAGATTCTAAACGGCTTTCTTAGCTAATTGAGGAGGTTTCATTCCTTCCTCCACCACAACTAACTAAACTTGTATATTCACATTATTTAGCATTAATTAAACGATGTGCGGTATATTCACCGTAATTAGTGCTTTAGCATTGCGGTTCGTCTTAAATGTTGATGGTTATAGACATGTTATAATTGCAGTCACAGTCACGTCATTTTTTCGCTCTTTGTGTAAGTCATAATTCTGTACTTATATTTTTCCCAAAGTTATAATATTAATTTTTGTTATTTTCGATTTAGGTACGACAAATACCCACAATCACCCACAATAGCTGTACAATCAATTCGTCACAATATACCTTTGATGTTCACAATGCACCTTTGCACCTTTGCTTCTTAATGTCATGAGTATTTCAGCTATCCACCCCTGAGCACGCCCTTCTTTGCTAGCTTCTTGCAGGTCCCCAATGTCAAAAGCATAATTTTTAACTTTATTTGTAATAAATTTGATTTTCTTAACAAGTTTCATATAAAAAATACATCAAAATCATTTTTATTTAATGTTATTAATATCTATTATACTTTACTTTACTTCCTCCTATTTTCATAGGAGGAAAAAAGATAATTTTAGGTAACAATATGAAAAAATATTGTTTATTTCTAATTATTTCTAATTATATTATATTATTATTATATGTATTTCTAATTATAGAAACTGAAATCCGAATTTTAATACATCCTGTCTTAAACACCTGTTTTATTAAAAACGTTATTTTTTTCTGTTTAAAGGAGAAAAAAAACGATAATTTATTGAAGAAGAGTAAAATTTTTTAAAATTAAAAAACGCCAAAAGCGGCATTTATTTTTTTAATAATGGTGCCACTAACCATTTCGTTATTTAAAACGTTTTGTTTGAAATTCAGATCATTTTTCATAGTTAGTACAGTACGGTACATAGTACAGTACTTTATATGTAACAAAGACCGTATTAATATAAAAACCAAAATTTTTCGAAGACCGTAATGTTACAGTCTTTGATATTTCTTATATCGTGACCTCCTTATAATATTACGGTCTTTGTAAAAGCTATAAACTGCTTTCATGTTTGTAAAGGCAATCACATTAAATAAATACAGTAAGTTTTGAAGGTGTCATATTTTACAAGTTATAAAAATAAATTGTTAAAAAAACTTGCTGTATATACACATGATTTTTTATTATTTTTTATGTAAGTATTTTAGAAATATTTAAAGTAACGACAAAATGCTCATTGATGCATTATAGATCTGTTCCACGAGCTACTCGTAGTAAAACTCAAGTAAAACACAATTAAAGTTCAAACTGAGAGCAATAGTCTGGTGGGAACACCAGTGTCGCGCAAATACACAATACAAAAATTTAAATTCAAATCAAACAACTGGTTCGAGTAAAGCCTGTGTAGCATTTTCAAATTTCAATTTAATCATCGGAACTTCCCAATTGAAATGTATGTTTTCATTTGCGATATTCACGGGTGCAACAGTTATCATTCTTAGAATTTCAGCTTAAGTTATTTGGATGATTTCTACGTTTCACGAATGTGCATTGGCATAAAGCTGTAACCCATACATCCAAATTGGTTTAATGACTTAATGATTTGCCAGCGAAGGCTTAAAGCCTTAAGCATCCTTTTTGTTTCAATATCCTTTTTGTTTCAATATATTTCCGCCAAGTCAAGCGATTGTCAAGGTGAATGTCAATACCAAGGTATGTCGCTCTTTCTATTTGCGGTAATACAATTCCGTTGAGAATGATATTTGGTGAGTTGGATCTGTTAAGAAAAAATATTATATGACGACATTTTTGCTCATTGATTGTAATTCGCCATAGTGACAACCATCTTTCTACGAAACACAAACGATTTTGCAGTTAATGAGGTACAAGAATGAACCAAAAACGCTGCTGTGTGGACCATCTGTACTTATTGGAAAGTCTTTAGTGCGAGTTGTACTTTACTCTGAAAGATCTATCTAGCAAGCATGATTCAAGTACTGTGTGTGGGGGATTTATGGGAGTACGTGCCGTATTTTTCTTACACTGAACTATCAGACCATATTGTCAAAGTATGTGATGTATTTTTCTCTTGATTTGAAGTCTTAGTCGTTATATTCTTGGATACCGTTAAAGAGAGAACGAAACTTGGAAGAAATTTTCGAACTTTTTTCGAATTCTTCTTTCAAAACAAACCATTCTTGTCAGAATTGTGCAACTATACCAATCGGCTTTTTTTTTAAATCTGCTTTAAGTAAATTCGAAATTTCCCCATTAAAGAAATTTTTTCAGCTAATATGGTCGATATTTGTATAAATCAAACAGTTCAATGTTTCATATTAAGATTTATTTATTAATTCAAACATTCAATGTTGTCTTTCAATGACTGTATAAGTTTCTTAATGTTAATACTAAATTATATAAAAATACATTAAGTATAATATTGTAATTGAGTTCAGAGGATATCAAATTTTTAATTTTTACCAGATTATTGCTTAGTATATACTGTTTTTAGAAATAAATGAAACAAATATTATTTATAATTTATTTAGTACTTTTACATAATAAGTAATATTGTGTGACATTAATTTGTTTCAAATAATTCTACATATTACAGTAAATTGAAATTTTTATCATTTAAATGCGTCGTGAAAAATTATTATTACTCTTAGTTTTTCCATCAAAAAATAATTCAATATAACGGGAGCCCATTTGCTCTCTATGTCTCTTCATAGCCAATTGGGCGTCCTCATAAGTATCAAAAAAGGCATCAGCAGTACCACTGTGTAAGCCTTTTTTATTGAAGTTTATGCGTACATTAGCTGGCCGCATTGGATCGAAGAACTGGAAAAATAATAATACATATAGACACTATATTTACTATACAAATCATATAAATTAATTTTAAACTGTTTTAATTATAATTGTTGAACCATTATAGTAACTTAAAGCCATTTTTAGTAACATTTCTTTAAATTAAATTAATATGTACATTGCCAACAAATGCACTGTTAAGTTACGACTTTATGCAATTTGAGATCACATTAACGCAATCTACAAATTTGATCAATTAAAAATCTGCTATTAATAAAAAAACAATAGATGCGATAATTTAAAGGAAAAAAATATTTATGCTTTGAAGCAATTTTGGCAACGAAGGGTAATAATCTTGCTATATAGTTTACAATTATATAAATATTTTATACTACATATTACATATTATTTACTACATATTATATATTACATATTATATATTACATATCATACATATTATGTATATATATACATATTATATATATATATATATATATATACTATCCACTACTTCTATCCAATTATTTTCAAACTGTTACATTACCTTAAAAACATCATTTTCAAAGGATGAGTAAGGTAGACCTCGCATGTGTATAGTAAAATATTCACTTTCAGAACGTCCTCCACCGATTGGTCCAAAGTTATTACCATGATTGTTACCATTAAATCCACTGCTTCCCATATTATTGCCGTTACCAAAATTATTATTTCCGAAATTGTTGCCGTTATTACCGCGCATATTGTTACCACCAAAATCATTGTTATTGCCATTGCCGTTGTTGAAATTTCGATTATTACCAAAATTATTAAAATCTCCAAAATCGTTTCCAAAGTTTCCATTACTATTATTAAAACGATTATTCCCACCGAAACCACTATTGTTGTTATTTCCATTGCCGAAACCTCCTCCGTTATTTCCAAAATTGTTGCCAAAATTTCCACCGTTGCCATTGTTAGACCCAAAACTATTTCCAAAATTTCCAGAATTCATTAGTCCGGGCAAGTTATTGAATCCCAAAGTGTTATTGGCCCCGATGCCAAAACTGCCACCATTGCCACCATTGCCACCCCAATCTTTGAAAAAATATATAAAAATTTTAAATTTAATTTTCAATAATATTAAATATTTTAGTATAACATATATTACCATTGTTACCGCGCATATTGTTGCGTCCATAATCGTTGCCACGGTTTCCCCCACGGTCTCTAATATCATATGGACTGGGTCGTCCATTACCTGATGCTGCACGTTTTAATTCAGCCAAAGAACTGCGAAAAATTTCAATGTACCTAAGGATATGTTTAAAACTATTAAATTAACTTGTACAGTAATGGTTCTGTTCAATGGTTATTCAATTGTAAATTATATAATTGTGTATGTGTGTAAATTGTGTTCTAAATGCGACATCAAGTTTTAATAAGTTTTAGCATTGAACAATGTATGCGTGCGTGGTAAAGAACCCAGCCATAACCCGATAGCCCGTAATTAGAGTAAATTTTTTTATGTAATTTAAAATGGATTAAAATGCATTTTCATGTTAACAGCATTTACCCCATTCTAAATATGCAACGGAAATTTCTTATAACTTTTATGAAAATTCCTTGGATGCTTTATATAAATACTGAAATTAAAAATTATTGCTTCATAATATATTGAGTTAAGAATATTCTTAGTTACCATATTAAATTTTTAAGAAACGACATAAGACAACCCACCTGTGCCCAATTTTTTCCCGATTTCGTCCCAAGGCTTGTTCAGTGTCTTCCTGGCTTTCAAACTGAACAAATGCTTCCCCTGTTGCACGACCCCTTCTGTCCATAACAAAAAGAATCCCCTCCCGATCCGGTTTGATTTCCAACCCTGCCCATGACGACAACCAAAGTGATATAATACAATAAATTGCTAATATGCTATGAAAGCTTCTATTGTAATGCTAAAGATTTTACCATAATAAAGTGTGTACGTTTAACCTATACTTATTTCTTATATCATAAAAATAACAAAATAAACATATAATTTTATGTAAGACTTAATTGTAATTTTGAGAAACAAAAGAACCAGAATTTTTCAAAAACAAAAAATTTATATGGAACAAAAAGCTTTTGCCCATGGTCTGTTATTTGAAGTTACTAATGCAATAATAACAACTTGCCTGACGACGGGTTTAGCAATTTTTTATTGAAATCCAAAAAAAATATATA